AAAAAAGGGGGGGGGGGGGGGGGGGCATATAGACATTTTCTAGTTCTCGAAAATAGTTCGACATGTAATGATAAATATACTGGAAGGTGCAAGGCAAAACAATGATCTATGTATGAATGAAAGTCTAACTAGAATGACGTTGTCGTTGAGACGAAGTTGGCTTATATAAGAGTATGTCATTGTGTTCAATTCACTTCCAAGGGAATCAAATCAACTGTTTCTATAATGCTTGGTATTTTTGCGTCCATTCTTTTTCGCAGAATACCTTTTTGACTATTTAGTGAAAAGTAGCGAGAGATGAAAGCATAACCAACCTTTCTTTTTGAAATCGTCATTGCATTGGTTCATTCTTTTAATTTCTTCTTTTGATATTTCATCTGAACAGTCCAGGACATAGACAACACAGAAATTGCATTTGTCGACCTGAGAGAGAACAATAAAAATTGAAAGCACATTATTCAAAAGGTATGCTTTGTCTAATATTTAAAAATGCATAAACTAACAAAAAAGGCAAAACTAGTTCATCTCACTAATTCACAATTTTGGAGCTTACTTGACTAGTGAATAGTAACTAGAGAACAAGCGACAATTTATCTAGGTTTTTACTTTATATGTGATAATTTCACGATCTTGTTTTGTGGCCCAAGACAAATGCTCATGGCAACGTATACTTATTAAGTAACGACTACGAGGCTAATGCTGCAGTGAAAAATATAATAGGATAAATATTGTTGTTTCACGTCAACTTTATACAGCACAAAATTAATTACCTCTTCCAAACTTTTTTCCACGTCTCCGAAAGGCTTATACTTTACATTTTCATTGTCAAATGACAGGTCCTTCTCAAAACCTGGAAAATCATACAGCCACACCTTGTCTTCAAGTATTCTAGTACCGGACACCTTTGAAAGGCAATAATTGAAAGGATATTATAAAAACAACATGAATTAACCTTAGATTTTTAACTTTTTATAGTTTCAAAATAAGAGATTCATAGATGCCACAGATAAGATAAGTCAACTTTACTTATCCAGTTTCGATGAAAAGACAAAACAATTGTGCGTTAAGGATATACACCTCTGAGAAGTCAAAAATTTCATGTATTAAA